GACGGTTTCAGCCACCTCTACCAATAAGCCCAGAACGCATAAAAAGACTCCGAGCTACACGGCGGCTTTTCGATTAGAGTCGGTCTTGCTACTTTACTCCGATAAAAGGACTAGATTGCAAGACGCAGTGTTTCAAAGTTTCTTAATTGCAGTCGACAGAAAGTTTTCGATACCTACCGTGAGGGTTGGGGAAGGAAGGCAGTAATGTTGCGACGGAAGTTGCCACATAGGCAAAACGCTTCTGTACTGAGCCAAGAGAGATACCTTTATCCGACAAAACTGACGGAGGTCCTGACAGGAAACATACTGGTCTTACAGGATACATAGCCTCCGTTATACTATCACAGCCTCTGATAAAATACCGAGGCTCCGACAGCTATTAACATAATACAAAGGCTTCAACAGCTATTAAATTAACTAGCTAGCTAGATACTATAGATATAATTTATTGAGACTTACTTAAGGATTCTCTCTAAAAAGATTCTACTTATCTTATTATAATCGGCGTGCCACCATCCACGCCATGTCGAGCAGCTGTTTGCGACTGTCGACCCGATGGATAGAAGGGCCAAGGGTGGCAGTGGGCGTAATCAGTGACGGGGCTACGAGGCCTAAAATTTCCGAACGCTGAGTGAGCGCTTGTGGAAGAGCCAAACATGACCGATCAATACATAGTCAATTTTCTACTCTGTACCACGCTAGATTGGTTTGAGGCTGCTTTTGGAGGGCAAGTCAGAGAGAGTTGACGTGGACTGGCCGTGAAATTGAGCTACCCAGCATCTCAGCATCCCCACCCTCCGGCACTTTGGCGTCGCGTTCTCCCACTCGCGGCTGCGTAGTAACTGTTAACTGTGAAACTGAAGCCAAAAGTCACCGCCAGCCACCAAATTGTTGTGTCATAAATATACGCCGGTATGCACTCATATTGAGATCAGCAAAGTTAGAGAGCTTGAACTTCACATTTCGGCGACGGCTTTTCTGCGAAGCACCCCACACTATTGAAGCGGATGTCGATGACCCTGTCTTGAATCATCTCTCAGCTTGGAACACCAGTCATGACGAATCTTTCTTCACGAGATCTCGACAACTGGCGCAAGCAAATAGTTGGCATTCCGGACAACGAAATGCGAATCGGTTCTGCGTGAACAGGCATCGTCCACACTCGATGCGACCTGCAACTTTCGTCCAGAACTTTCGATGCTTGCAGTTGCGGTTCTCGTTTACATCGATGGAATCTTCTTTTCGATGCGTGGCTGGCGTTTTTGACTTGGATTTGAATGGACTCTTCTGTTGAGTCATACACCCTTTTCCTCCTGCCTCACGTTTCACCTCGGACTCTCTCCCGTGTCGTTGAGTGTCATTCCTTGACTGTTTTTTGCCCTGTTTGTCAGACTTCGAAAGACCCCCACGTTGCTTCCCAGTCCTTGCATACTGATAGCTCTCTTTTGTGTGCCGTTTTTCTTCCTCCCAAACCATTCGTTGTTGTCTTTCTCTGCTCATCTGTTCTTCCTGTTCTTCCCTTGCCAGTCTTGCCTTCTCTTTTACCAATTGTTCCTTTTCCTCTCTTTTCAACTGCTCCTCTCTAGCTTTCTTTGCTTTCTCTTCTGAATTTTGTCTGTCACGCATTAGCTGTCTCTGTTGCTCTTCTGCTTTGGCCGCTGCCGCTTGTCTAAGCCGAGCATTTTCTCTAATCCTCACTTCTGCACACCGATCTGAGAAATTTCGACATGTAACGACACCATCTTCACCGAAATGCGGTCTCTTTCAGCTTCGAGATCGCGAACAATATCTTCGTGATCTCTTCGATTGCAAGTACGCAACGTTGCTGCTCGCTTTCGCTGCGCCTGCTCAGGGCGGGTATATCCGTTCATTGTTAGAAAGCTCATCCATGTATTTCTCTTATCGTCCTCCTTCGCAGCTTCATAATCTTGTGTTAAAAGTCTTTGGATGGCAGCCTTGTGCTTTTGAAGTTTTTGAAGTTTGGCGTCGCAATCTTGATGCAGCTTTGCACTTTCATTCCTCAAGTCACAGAGCTTGCGCTCCAGCTCGTAGATAGATTGCTCATATAGCTGAGTGGACTGGCCGTTGCAATTAAAATATGATTCTCGATTCGATGCAGACGAAATTCTGACAGCGGCGTCACGTCGGATGCGTGATAATTGAGCATTAAAACGATGTCTTTGGTGCGGATCTCTAAGAACCTCGTAAGCTTCCTGCAGCTGAAAAAACTTTGTCAGTACTTTTATAGTCAGATATAGAGTCAGGGAAAGCAACGCATCTGGTGCCGAGAAGTAGAAAGAAAAAAGAGTACTTTCTGAAACTCCGCCGTAGCGTTAGGAACCTGATTTCTGTCAGGGTGATTCCTCAAGGCAATGCGTTTATAGCTGGACTTGATAGTATTTTCGTCTGCATCTTCGGATACTTGCAGAACGGCATAGTAGTCGTGGGTGAACTCACGCGCCGCCATGTCGTCAGTGGACATGAAGGCGAGGCGAGGGTTGGGCGGCTGTTGGGCCCAGAACAAGCGATCGGGTTGCAATATAGCTGATCACACGACATGAACAGAGGCAAGGCGTTCTGCATACGTAATAGACTGTCCTATGTTTATGCCCGCCTAGTCAAAAGAATCAAATCAACGGCTAATGCGTAATTCCACGTCAAAGGGACGGCCACACCAGCTACTACAGCCGAAGCGACAGGAACTTAAAGGAGTGGACCTTGGGGCCAGTCTATTCCTGAACGGTGGAAGTGGTCTTGCATGAAAAAGAATAGCTACAAAGGCTTCCAAAACCTCGCCGAGAGAAGCTTTCTCGGTCATAACGCGTTATGGACAAATTTTATGGCAACAGCAAAACACCATTATGGATGGGAGTGGTTCAGGCTCGAGAAACGCGAGAATGGTTACTGGCTGCAGCGACCATGGCGTGATACATGCTGAGGAAGCGCGATGTACCGGAGCAATCTATAACAAAAGACCCGATGATTAGTTTACGCCGCTTGTGCTGCATCGGCCGTTGTAGTGACTCGGTCACTAAATTTGCATCGATGCAGGCAGTTAAAATCCAAGCAAAACTGAAAACTTCATCATTCTTTAGATTATAATCGTCGATGTGCAACGACCCTTGATTTTTTTCTTTATGTCTTTCAACGGTCTAACAGCGAGAGTAGTGGTTTGGTCTATACGGAGTGCGGGCATCTAGATCATGCCGTAATTAAGCAGCGCGTCCATGACAAACAAGTATCGCGGTGGGCGACCAGCTCTAGGCAGCCCAGCGATAGAAGTACAGACAAACAGAACGCACACAGGATGGATCCCACCTGTTTCCCATCCACGGCAAGACGACACAGCAGCGCGGACGAGTGATTACTATCAAACCAAAGGACGGCTAGGAAGAGCCGGACAAGTCAGAGACATAGAACGATTACAAAAGCTATAGATACAAACCAGCGAGATGTCGCCCACGTGGAGGCAGACAGGAGGATAAGACTCGATAGGTACAGTAAACAGCCTGTGGACGCATATATAGTGGGGTGAAAATCTATTGACCTTGTGTTAATAGTTGTACGCTGCATAGCTACAGTACCGTAAAAACCGTTATGGGTGTCGCTAGTGCTTTTAGTTTA